GAGAGAGAGAGAGAGAGAGAGAGAGAGAGAGAGAGAGAGAGAGAGAGAGAGAGAGAGAGAGAGAGAGAGAGAGAGTAGAAAGGCTGTAGAAAGAATCAGGAGCCCAGAGGCAATGACAAACCTTTTCTTGATAACTCGAACTTTGAAATTTTTGTCATTTACCGACAAATTTGGATGAATCTTTGCAGGTGTATTTGCCAAGAATAATGCATTGAATTTGCGTTCTCGGTGTAGTGATTAAACAGTTTTCTTTGCAAGTAAAAGACATGAATTCGATGCCACTATGGGGGAGTTTGTCTCTGCTTGAGTATCCTCGTCTTCCAACTTGGGGGGTGGGGGGGGGTGTTATCCAGCATTGAAAAACTCTCATTTTTCTCTTAATGATCTAAATTCTGTCGAGAAATATGTACAGTAAGGACCTTAATGTTTTTGGATATTCAGATACTAGCTGGGCCCCCCTTTCGATGAAAGGAACGATCGATGCATTAACATCAACTGAAAGTCATTAGCCTACTATATTTAACACTCTACTGGAATGGAGCAATACATCTTGAGAATAACCCTGTTCCCCTTGTTAAAGCATAGATTAATTTGGATGATGTTAGAGGCAAGAGATTGCCTGTAGATTTATATAGGATATTTCTTATTTATTTCGTCTGAGACATCTTGAGAGAGGCAAAGAATTAAAAGGTCTAGATCTATACTCTCAAATCAAAATGCGCCTCACGAAACATCACTTCCGGCACCTCCGCTGTGGAAGACCTGGGAAGACAGCTATGCTGATTTGTTTCGTTTCTCAGTGGAATGATCACAAAAGCCAAAGAAGGACGGGAATTTTGTCAAATATATTTTTTCTAAATTCAGGAAATGAATAAATAAAAAGTGGGCTCCGTCGTGGGGACCTATCTATCTTTTTACAGGTACTAGCCAACTTCCAACTATCTGTAGCTGTCGTGCTTTTATGGGAAAAGTGACACATGTGTTTCCAAGTTGCCAAATATATAATAATGTATAGACGGGTCCCACGTTGGTGGCCATTAAATTGAAACAGAAGCGGTTGTACTATCTGTTTCACCGTTTGTGTCTTGTATGAAAAAAGTCGGCCAATACAAAATCTCTCACTGGGCTTATTTTGGCAAGTTCGTTTGAAATCAAAGAAATCTTTAGGTAATTTCCAAAAGTCAAATAATCTAAAGTTGGTGTAATTTGTGGTATTAAATGTTATTACCC